TTCAGGTGCGCGAACAGGTGCACTCGATCAGGCCAACAGGTAAGAAAGAAGATCTTCACGTTTTTCATATTTATCGATATACATGTATATTTTTTCAATTGACCAGTCACAGTGGAAATATCATATTTTTATAATAAATTTTTTATTTTTATCATTACATTACATTACATTACATTACTAATATTATTAACTTCTTTGAATATTATTAGAAATATATAAAATACGAAACAAAAAGTTTCTTATATTATTTTCATTTTTATTACATCTGTTTTACCTACCGAACCGATCTCGCAGGTGAAACACGATCTCTAGCAACACTTGATCTCCTGATCGAATGCACCTGTTTGCTCACCTGAAGCCAAGAATTTACCTTTTAATGATACTATTTTTCCCAAGATCGTTATTTGTACCTAAATTAACAAAAGGGATCGACGATCTAAAAGACTATCTTTCCTCATGTTTTGATTTCCTGATCGATCGATTCTCTCTGCTTATTTTCTTTCGATTAAATCTAATCAGTGATTGCTGTTAGTAAAAACGTTTGAGAAAGTTCCTTTTCCTATAGTTAACTTTTTTTGGTTATAATTATGCTACTGAAAATATTTTTCAACCTCTTCAACAATTTTCATTAAAATGATTGATTATTAGAAATTTCGTTTCATTCAATCAATGGAGTTTAAATGAATTTATTAAAATAAAAAATGTCAATGCGTTAAAAATATAATTTAAAAATGTTTTTAAATTTTACATTAATTATTATTGTTTATATAATATAATTGAAATTTTAAAAAGCATTATTTCTGTTTAAATCTAAAAGAAGAAAAGTTTATAATTTGATATTTTCAAATAGAAAATAATATTATAAATAGAAAAATGGAACTAGTATCAATTTTAAATTTCGTATTTAATGCAGTGAAGGAAAATAAAAAGTACCGACCTCTTTTGTCGTGACATTTCACATGCGTGAATATATAGTTCCCGCACGCGCGAATAAGGGCAAGTTCTTTTTTCAAATTGCAATACCAATTTAAATTCCTTAACGTTCCTATTGCATTTCACTTGCTTCAGAAACAAAAGCAATACTTGCGTCTCAGCCTCTGAAATTGCCTGAGAAAGTATTTCTATAGAACATATTGGCAAACATTAACCCTTTCTCTCTATTTTTTTCTTTCTCACTCATTCTCGTAACGACGCAATTAACTCACTGAACTGTGTATACATAAACATTATCGTATTCACCGCTAGGGTTTTAAACTTTTATTTAATTTTTTTTCTCATTATACTCTTATGCTATTACACTACTTAAGTCGTGTATATTTACACTTTAAAGGCTGCTAATACGCTATAGAAAATTGATTTCAATCTTGTATTTCGCATAGTGGCAGTATCTTTAATTCGATTGTCCATTTCGGAATTTGCATTATTCGAAAAGGTAGTAATTAAATTTTTTTCTTCTCTATCCAAGGATGAAATTGAAAATATAACTGAATGCAGAAAAAGTATATAATACGTTCATACTATATATGAAACATTTACAATTTTCTTTTTTGCGCTCCCGGACAAAAAGTGTAATTCTAATTAAAAGGATTTTCTATATAAACCGTATATAACAAAATTTGAGAGAATTTTCTGCATATAGGTTTAAAAAATAATTTACAGTAAAAACATAAAAGAACCTTGGTTTTAAAAACAATAGACTAAATGAATCAAAAGTTTTAACATGTTTTTTTCTATACTAAAGTATTCTATATCGTTATTCTATTTTTTTTAAATATTTTAATGAAACAAAATTTGGAAAAAGGCTTCCAATCATCTCTGTCATAATAAGTTATGAAAGAAAACTACTATAATCGTAAATAGTAATTTTTTTAGCTTCTGTCTGAAAATTTGTTTTTCTGCTTTTTTAAATTAAAATTCATGAAAATGTAATGATAAATAAATAAATAACTATATAATTTTCTACCAAGTTTATAAAATTGAAATTTTCATATAAAGACCATTTCGTTTTGGTGTCAGTTGAATGTTTATATATATATCTATAGGTATGTTTCTTTTTAAAGTTTTCGTTTTCTATATAGTCCTGAATCAATTTAGAAACAAAGCCATTAAAACTTTTTTGATTTAACTTACTTTCCTGTTTTCTGCTTCTACTGTCCTTTCTATGAAAAATTTAAGCCAACATTTTTCAATATTTTACCTGTTTTTATAAAAATGACGGTTTTAAAGTTAATTATCTAGATAAAAATACATTTTCAAAAATCTCTCATTATTCAATTACTTGTATATTTAAAGTTTATAATTAATAAACTTTTTAATGAAAATGTTATAAAACTAATGAATTTCATGGAATTTTTTGTGTATGAATTGATTAAAATGTTTTAAACAAAATTTCCTATATTTTTTTAAATTCAATAGTTAATATGTAAATATTTGTTTCATTTTTATTGATATTTTTTCATGTTGGAATGTAAGCTTCTTTTTTTTGCTGAAAATAATGTTTCAAATTGAATAGAACTGTTATTGGATTGACACAAAGGATCGTCCATTTTGGAAATGCCTGAATTCCTGATGTTATATAGGAGGAAGATCAAACGTTATACCAGAGTGAATGTGTTTGCGAGTTGTTACAGTACCCAATTATATATTTTCAATAAAATTATATATTAGTTATTCAACGTACATAATACTTACTTAAAATTTTCCAAAATGTAACGAATTCATTTTACGTGAGGATTAAATTAAATGTTTTTCTAAATTATTTAATTAAATTGTTAAACTCTGAACCCAAAACGAATCATTTACATTTCATAGAAATTATATTTTGAACTTGAGTCTAATTTTTTAATTAGATTGTCCGTTTGTATGTTTGATTAAAAAAATTATTTGTAGAATTAATTATTAACTCTTAATTCTTTTTCTATAGTTTGCACATTAAGTTACAATGGAAAATGATACAAAGGTTGAACCCCATCCCATCCAGCCTAAAGCGATATATACTTAAAAATAAATTTTTGTGAAATTTCTAAATAAATTTAGAAACTCAGCCATCGAATTCAAATTGGTAAAATTGTAACAAAATAGTCAATATTTGTTTTTAGCGAATATGTATATATGTATATATATATATATACGCATATACTATAGCTTCCGACAGAATAATAGAATTATTGAGTTTGCTGATGTCGCTTCAGGCAAATTAACAGTCAAACATTCGGTAAACCACTGCGAATCGAACAATTTGATTCTCCAAGGCACCACACCACCAGTAAGGTCAAGAGGAGTTGAAATCGATTTAACCGGTCTCTTCTATAGGTAAACATAATTCAGTTTCAAAACATTTTCTTTACACGGAAAAAAAGAAAAAGTAATTTTTACTACTTTCATAGTAAAATGGGATCTGTCCGAAGTTTCTGCGCATCTATGGCAACTTTTACTCCAAAAATAGTAAAATTTGCTCCAGAAATAGTAAAATTTACTCCAGAAATAGTAAAAATTATTACAAAAATAGTAAATTTTACTATTTTTTGAGTAAAAGTTGCCAGAGATGCGCAGAAACTTCGGACAGGTCCAATTTTACTATGAAAGTAGTAAAAATTACTTTTTCTTTTTTTCCGTGTATATATGTATAAGTCCCATTTTAAAAATAATATTTACACAACATTTCAATTTTTATTAGGTATAGTTTTAATATTTACTAAACTTGAAAATATATTTTATAAAACAAATATAATACTTTCAAGTGCAGTTTAAATGTACAAATTTTTAAAAATTATTTTAAAAATTTCTTCAACTTAATAGAAATGATTAAAAATCATTTTAAATTATAGTTAGCTTAGGCGGCGAATGCCTTGACTCTGCGATAGTGTAGGTTAAGCAAATTAGAATTACTCTAGCGAAACATGTCTCTTAGTGGTGACCCACGCTTTTTGTAAATGCATTTTTTATAGTTGAAAACCTCGCAAGTGAATATTATAAATAGAAGAATAATAAAAGTCAGCAGAAAAATTTTTAAAAATCAGTAAATGAAACAGGAAAATAAAAAACAAAAAAAATTAAAATACAGAGAAGCAAATAAACACAAGTAACAAAAGTAAAGAAACAAAGAAGGCAAAAACGAAGGAGACGATGAATAAAATAAACAACAAAGAAGCAAAAGAAAAAAGAAGATACAAAGAAATAATAAAGGAAGAAAAATAAAAAATATAAAAAAGTAGTGGAACATTTTTCCAATAAGAAGAAATAAGGAAAAAAGAATTCAAAAACTACATAATGCTTTAATGAAGCTATTTTAAACCCCCCTCGCCCCCCCCTCTCTCTTTCTACATAACGCGTTATATATTTTTTTAATTGACTCCTCAACGAAAAAATATATAATATACATATTGTACTATAAAAAAATCACAGAGGAAAGAAACTAATTTCCCTTTAATCCATTATTTAATTGCGCAATTGGGAAGCAAATAAATGTAGACGCGATTGAAAGTAAATTGTAGTATCGGAATCTGAAAGGAATCAGATCCTCGTTAAAGAGCAATTTTCAAAGATCTCGTATCGAAAAGTGCGCGGCAGCTGTTCGGGACTAACAGTGGATTAATTTCCATGATTAATCGAGTAGTAAACCACACACGAAAAGTGTGTTTACAGGAATTTCTCTCACCCCCTCCCCCCCTTCACTTTTGCCAAGTTCCGTTTATTATCCTTGACTCTTTGACTCTCTCTCTCTCTCTCTCTACTACTTGATAAGAGTCAGGTGCGTACGTGGGTTTGCATTCCTGCTGCAGCATTGGATAATGTAACAGAATTACGTGACTAACCAAATTACGTGGCAAGCGTTCGACAAATTCGATTGCCAGTTTAATCGATCGAAAGAGCTAGAGACGAACCACTGCTATGCGGCCGTTATAATCGTTCCGGAAACCGAGCACGCGAATGTTGGATTTTCTTCCCTAAGGATCTTTCCACCAGCTCATTCAAACTTTTCTCGCTCGCTTTACACTCACCTTGTTTAAACTTTCCTCAGATATCTCCCTTAGTTTCTCTCCTCCCTATCCTTATTCTTCTTTCTTAGAAAATGGAGACAAAAAACACTTCACTATACACATTCAGCAAGTTCTGATTCACTTCTTCCGTGTTCGATTTTTTTAATTGAAGATCATTTCCTCATTCCTCTAGAATTCACCTTCAGCATAAGACTCTTTGGAAGCTGATAACGACGATTGGTTTAACAATTTGAATTTCATGAAAAAGACGACACTTTTGGACAATTTTTTTTACTTATTGTTAATTTTGTTTGTTTGTATATTGTTTTTCTATTAAATTTCACGTTTCGAAAGTTTCATTCTTTATTAATTATAGTACATGAATCCTTATAATATTGCCTTTCGTATTATTATTTCACACGAAACCCTAAAGAAAATTTTAAAAAAATTATATTTTCCCGAGTATAATTATCGCGAACAAAATTGCTTCTCAATTTCACCGAAAAGGCTTCTTTAAAAAACAAATAGAATTTTTCTTATATCTCAATGGCGGAAGTCTATTTACAATCTGTCGCCATTGTCTGGTGTCGCACCTATATGACACATGACCTTTCATTGAATTATTCTTGGAGAAATGTCAATTTTTATACACAGCCCCCTTTAATATTGTAATGATATAAAATACAAGTTTTATTAAACTACATGTGTGTTTGAAAAAGAAGAGTGCGCGCGGCATTGACTGGAAAAGGTGAACAAGATTGCAAATTGCATTTTAACTTGAAACTGGAATGGAATGCATAAATGTAACGTTGCTTTCAATTTAAGGGCGTTACACAACCTCGGATTTTATCGGAGGTTGACATCGGGCCTATGGCCTTATATGTGAAAGTCGGATTCAAGGTACGACTTTCGCTTGATATCAAACGACATTTAATGCGTCACCTAAGAATGCACTATAAGTGCTTCCTGCAAATTTTATGCAACTTTTTAAAACTGGTTCAATAAAAAGAGACAATTTTCAAATATAGAATTGGGAAAATTCGCTGAAAAACATGAGAGATGACGGACTTTTCTCTTTTTCAGTTTTATTTATTATTACTTTGTAATAAACTGTTTTAAACTGTTAAAAGAAATAAAACATTTAATTTTCATTAGAAAATTTTCCATAAATTAATGTCTTAGATATCAAAAAACTGGTAAAACATTATCCAGCTATTATAAATGCAAACTACACTTTATATTACATTTTTATTGCTGTTTTGATTACTACCTTTAATTATGATTTGAGTTAAAATTTATATCTCTTTCAACATAAAATTGCTTTTTTAAATATCATTTCCAAAATTCCGTGCTATATATAAATTATTTTTTTAAATTTAACGTGCAGTGAAAACCTTCTTTTAATTAAAAAAAACTTACACAGATGAAAAAAATGATGCTGGGATATACGATTTTTTGATTTAAAAAAAATTTTCAAATTTGAAATTAATTATAATTTTTTTGTCTAATAATTTAATATGTGGAAACATATGAATTAACGACAAAGTCACATTAAAAGTTTTGGGTTTAAATTTAGTGTGACGGGAAGTATATTATTTTGATAAATTAATTAATCTCTTAGAGCTTGTGTGATGATGATAATAACGCTGAGGAAGGTATATACTAATCCTTAGTATGTGGGAAATTATCGATCAGTCTAGGAACAGCCAATCAGGTTCGGCGGTGCGAGAGCTCGGTCAAACAAATTATTTCCTCCCGATTAGCCGTGTGAACACGTCGCATATAACGTCCAGGGTGACGGTGTTACACACACACACACAAACACGCACACACATATATTACGTGAATTGTCAGGTAAAAAATGAAAAATATTCCAAATTTTATGGCACAACAATTTTAACCCGTTGGTTATTTTTGTTTCTTTTCATTTGTCCAGCTAGATAAATAATGAAATTGGCCATTTTATTATACGATTTTACATTTTTTCTTTTATTGCTGTCAAACACGAGTATTTATTTCAAATATCAAATCAAATTTGTTTCGATTCTTTATATCAACACACGAGTTCGCAATCATATAAAGTGGACTGAACAAAACTTTCTAAACCGCCTCAACGAAGAAGAAACTTTAGATCTTGTCTTACGTATATTCATACATTATTTCATGAATTAATCATTTGTTTTAGAAATCGAATTATTCAAACGTGAAATTATTTCGCAAATATTTGGAATTGAGGAACCTATTATTATCATTCAGTTTGACTTTTTTTTTATTTTTGATATTTAATGTTTTTTGAAGAGAATTGACCAAAATGAAAGAGATTAAAATATGTTTATTCATGAAAAAGATTAAAAAAAAAAAGAGTTTGAAATAGTTTTCCAATTTAATAGGTATTCTTTCATAAACGATTAAATTAATACTGTTTGAATCACGGATTTCACTGATTGAAAACAGCATTCAATTTAAATTGATAACAATTTCATTTATCACTCTCGTTATTTTTCATTGTTTATTATTCGTCATCAATATTCGTTTTTCCACGTGTCTACTTTGTAATTATAACAATCAAAAGTTCATTATTCATTTATATTTGTCAATAATTATTTTTCCATTCTGTTTATTGTCCATCGGCTAATTTGCGTTCTATTTTAAAAATGTATTTAAATGTCAAACAACAATTATGAAAATAAAAAATTGTGAAATCAAAGAAAAATCGCAATTTTATTAACTGTATTATTAATCAGTGAAATAAAAGTATAATTAGAAAATACAATATTTTGCAATCAATGTTTTTTAGTACAAAAATCATTTAACAATCGACATTCACTCATCCTACCTGACAATCTACATGGCATAGAAATATCCATTAGTTTCCAGCACTATCAATTTTTGCTTCACGGTTTATATGTATATCAAAAACCGCAAACTGATTTCAATGCAATTTTGTTCCAATAATGCGTTATAAATTTTAAAACAAGCCTTCACAATTTTGATTGTTATTTGTTTATATTCGCTTCACGTAAAAGCTTTTTTCGGTTTTTTTCTCTTTTTTGTATCAGAGATTTTATTGTCAAATTGATGCTGTTGTGTATATGGAGGAAGGGAACGGAGGATAATTGAATTTAAAGAACAAGAGAAGAGAACACGAGAGACGAATACAAAATTAATGAAAGCACGTGACACGATCGTCAGGAGGAAAATCGGTAGACGATAATCGGTAGTCGGCACTCGAGAACGTTCAGTGGCAACTGACTAAGTTGGAGAGGACGAAGACATTCTTCAATTCTTCTTGGTGGTCATGTGAGAGGAAGCTCACTTCTCTCTCTCTCTCTCTTTACACGTAAAGTGGATTTTTGTCCCTCTCTCACTCTTTCTAAACTAGGTGTTCCAATAGCCTCCCCCCTCGCCTTTCACTCACCCTATTTGTCACGTTGAGAGGGAGAGTGAGAGGACAAAACCAAATGTGGTTGTGTGCAGGAGAATATATCGCAAGCTGTGCACTTGCCTCTGGTCGTGTGTCACTGTTGTGCTCTGTCATTGTCATTATCAGAGACGCAGCATCCCGAAAATTGCATCAATTGCAAAAGGTATGAAAAAATACTGGGATCCACTCTTTTTTTCTTTCGTGGGAGATGAAACTGTCTGTTTCAGAACTAGGCAGCGATTAATTGCGCATCATCATTAAATTAAATAAGTACTGATACTTTACACATATTCGTCGAAGTATAACAATATTTTTGAAAAATAATATCAGTTTAAATGATTTTTTCTTTTTAAAAAACAACTTTAAAAAGAAAACCGATCGAATTTAATAATTTTTTTTAAATTATAAATATTTATTTATAGATAAATATAATCACAGTAAAAACAAAGTCTTAAATCGTTTACACCTTGAATTCAGTCCCAAAAATGGGCATTTTCAATTGTGTTTACATGAATTGGAATAAAACGATTTGTTCATTTTATTTAGGTTAATGAGTGTCGAATGTTTTGCTATGACACCTAAATATATCGATTGACTACTATACACATATATTCGATACAATTGTCTAGTCGTTGTTATATATATATATATATATATATTATATATAATGAAAAACACAAAGTTCTCCTCAAGCACATTTACATGCTTCTATATAGATGAAGTATATTTATCTCAAAATAACAAAAGCTAATTAACCGAGTAATTTATCAATTACCCACTTAATACGTAAATTAACGTAAACATTTTGAAATTCAAGTACATATAGAGTGAAATAAATAATAATTCTAAATTTTTTCCATCTCACGATAGTAAAAAGCAATAAAATAAATTCGCACAGTTGCGTTATTTTTTATATATTATTATTATCTGAAAACAAAAAAAATGATTAGAATAATATTTGGATAAAAATTTTGTCCCCACAAAAATTTACAAGCGAATAATGTACAAAACTTGCATAATGGAATGGATAAATTAGAAATCCGGCTGGCGTTTTAATTTCCTCGAGAATATTTCATTTTTTTTTTTTTTTTTACTCTTCCTGGCTTGGCTAACGCATCTAACCGCGCAATTGTGCTTTTTACCATTTTTTTCCATTTCGCAAAATAATCTGAAATATGAAGCAATGTCATATATATGTATACGAAACAAATATCATTAGTACAAAAATCTTTCTGATTCCATAAATAAATAATCCAATATGCATAAATCTTCCCCACAGGAATTTCAATATATATACTCGTTGAAAATGAATATAAACTAATAAACAAACGGTAAAAAAAATAAAAAATAACTGCCCTACGTTCTCTGAACAAATATCCATAACTTAACTATTCTTATCGCTGCGGGAATTCTCCAAACTTTTTTCAATTTGTTTTTTTTAGACAAAACTAATTCCTGCAGTTATGCACTTCATAATTCTGTGTTTAATATTTTTGTGAAAAGAATTTTAATAAACGAAATTTATTTACTCCAAATGAATTTTACGATAAAAGCCGCTTAATGGATACATATCTCAGTTATTAATTACAGCAGTAATTTTGATTATCAAGCGCGTCAAATTTTGAACGGGGCCAGGCTTCTCTTCATTATTCATTATATTATTAGGAATTCTCGTGTTCAGATCAAACAGAATATTATACTAAGGCAAAATCCATTTGCATAAAATTATTTTCTTCTTTTACCGGATAAATAACTTATATTTATCAACACGAATATAAATATTTTTTTTCTTTATAAATATTTAAAACATATTTTTAATACACAGAAAAAACTTTGCTGGGTTAACACACACAGTAAAAACCCGGGCTCAAAATGATCCAGGAATTGTCTACATGACAATTTATACAATTGTCTATTATGAAAATTGCAGTGTTTTCGCTACAAAGAATATTCTTCCGTGTATGATTCTATTTTTTGGGAAATTATTAAAATTTCAATCTAATATAATTTTGCAACCGATATGAAGGAGCTTTGAAAAAATAAAATTGCTACATATTAACTACCATTGAATGGGGGCAATAAATAAAATACATTGACAAAGAATTTATTTATTAATATGAAAGAATGCCCGTGAAATTAAATATTTTTATAAAGTGACTTTTATGATCCTTTATCGCATAAAAATGTGTATAAAATTTTATAAATTACAGAATTGAAACTTTCACGTTGTCATGTTCCCGTGACTAATTAATTTAAAAATGATTATTATTTAAAATATGATAAAGTATACCTACAAACAAGAATCCGAATACTTATAATTCCTCCTCGTTTTTCTTGGGTTTAAATTTATTTTTTTTTTGTTTAAAGTAATAGAGGATTTATAATTTATAATTTATATTTAATTCTACTTTACACTTGACTGAATTCACATTTTTTATTTAATAGTTTAAGCAATATATGAAAATTCGAGGAAATACACTGATTTTGGTGTGGTTAAAAAATGGTGATTAATTTTGCAAGATAAAAATAGAAAAACCCGAAATAAGAAGATAATTTTATTGATCAAGTTAAAATGGCATAGTATTGGATGAATTCGAAGGGCTATAACAAAGCAATCTTGTACAGATTGGTACAAGAGACGACAATCTCTCGAGAGTGATATTGGCGCAAGGTTGCACAATGCCAAAGCCATATCATACAAATACGTATTTTAGGACATAATACCCGCTTTACGCGCTAATATCCTTAGCCTGACAAAACGTTTCCTTTGTCCATTTCGTATCAACCTGTCTCATCTGTGCCGATTATGTAAGCCTCTCTCAAACCACATTCACAATCTACAATATATGTAATTCCTAAAGCCAATATAGAATTTTTATTCTCAATAATTTTACCCAGAGATCAAAAATTAATAAAACGTCATTTCATTATTATTAGGATAAGTAAATTTTAGATTATGCTATTATGAATTTTCTAATCCTAATTAAAACCAGTGTAATCACTGAAACCTTCTATACAAAGTAATTAATGATTTTAGAAGATAATTTCGTGATACCTGTCGTAAAAATAATTACATAATGTAATATTTTTTAATTTTTAGTAGAAAAATGCTTTCGCGATTTAAAAAAGTTTAACACTCGAAAATTTTTTCATTTAAACTTGCAAATTTGCAAGACACGAATCGATTAATTAATCGAAATTGTATAACAAATATTATCAAATAAATCAGAGAATAACAACTTTATATGTAGGTACTGACAAAAAAAATGCAACACTATCTGATTAAATTATTTTTATTCCATTTATCAAATTATCATAATTTGAGATAGCTGAAATCTTTTTAATTATAAAATCAACTTTATAAATTGAGTACGAATGAAATCGGTTTGTGATGTAAATATATACACACACACACACACACACACAATTTTTCGATTCCAGCGAGTGACTCTGTAATTAATCATCGCGGAAAGAAGTCAGCAAAAACACTTTGATTTTAACAGACCTGCAGAAAGTCCCTGGAAAATGTCGATACGCTACAATGAAAAAGTTTCCAGACTATTATGTCAGAATATATTTGCCGGAATTTTTTCTTATCCAGATTGTGGAATTAATGCAGTTATTGGCAATACGTTTTTTTCACATACACTCTTTTTGCGAAAAATTCAATTCTCCATAATAATTTATTTTTCTCACAAGGTTTATTTTTATTTATTTACTTTTTCATATTTTAATTTGGCAATAATTTCACATTTTTAATTTTTAGCGACAGTGAAAACGTAAACAATAAATAGTGAATAATAAATGCCTGGTTTTTGTTTCGTGCATATTAATTTAGAAAAATCTCGTTACATATTTAATCTGTCTGAAATACTTGAGTATTTATTGGAAAATGTCTGGTTCTTAAAAATAGGAAAAAATATTATTATCAAGCAAATAAATTTTAATAACCTATAAATATAGTATAATTTTTTTTTAAATCCCTGTTATACTATTACTATGCAAATTAAATTATATAAAACGTTTACAATTTTGATATTTAATATTATAAAAATAGTAGTGAAATTCTTATTACTGTACATACTTTATGCGTGCATTTATGGATTTCTTGAATAAATAAAAATAAATTAATCAAATCCAAATTAATAAATTATTGATTCTTTCCTATCTCTCAGAGGCCATTCAAGTATTACGTAAGCATATTTTCAAGGGTTTGGGACCCCCCCTCCCCTAAATAAACATATTGTAAGGAAAAAAAGAAGAATTTTGTATGGCTCATATAATGATATTTTATATGGAGATTTATGAAAAATCTCTTTGCGAATTATAACTTGAAAGTGCCGATAAGAAATTGTTGTTACGAGTTTTTCTTTCAGGGAAGGGAAAAACCTTAGCCCTATAATGCGACTCCTAAATTTCCAAGAACAATTCAAACAAGGCCACGAAAATCAGAATAGGGGTCGCGTGAAATTTTCGGCGGGAGTCGGCGTACAACCTCAAGAATTTTAAGAGCTGAGGCCAACCGCCACCACGGATCCCGGCAAAGAGAGAGAGAGAGAGCGAGCGAGCTTGCGCACGTTTCACAATTCCGGAGCTTGCAACAGAGCTTTTCATCCAGTAGCCGGCTGCCAGGTCTCAATTTCACACACCGTTCCCCACAATAAAATTCACATCGTTCTACTGTGCGTCACAATCACGTTTTGTTCCAACGTCTATTTTTTTACAAAAAATATTCCCCACTAAACTAGAAAAAAGCCCGGTGTACACGAGTGTTTTTTAAATTTAAATTTATTGTGTATATTAATTACCTTGGTACTTTAATTGTAAACAAATGACAGTGTGTGTGTGTGTATGTATGTGAACAGTAATAATTAATGAATAATTATTAAATTTCATATCATTTCATTAAGTACTTTATTAAAGAATAAAATCGAATAATCTACAAGATAAAATTTTTTTTAGATGATAAAAGACAATTAGTAAAATTCAAATGAATGAGAATTAAGTCAATTTAATAATAATTAATTCATGGAATAAAAATTAATTCAAATGAATGAAAATTAGTAAAGTTGAACAACAATTAGCTAAATTGAACAAAGCTTAATTCAACTGAATAGGAAATAACTAAATTCAGTAACAATCAAGTATTTTAAGCAACAGTAAACTAAATTCAACAATAAATAATATGTAATAAAAAATTGAATGCAAACTGTTTACCAAACAGCAGTGAAACACAAATCGATTAATTAATTTTTTGTCAAATAAAATTTATAAATGCCAAAAATGAAAAAATATCAAATGATTGAAAATTTATAAATGAAAATTATGATGTGAAATTAATATACTTCATCTCATAAGGAAAAAAAGTGATTAAATAAATTGAAAGTGTAAAAATTAATAATATTAGCAAAATACCAAATGATTTAAGCAAAATAGTCGATCAAATGGCAGGTGGCTGATTTACTTTGGAATTAGAAGCGACATGTACGTTTAACACACAAACGTCTTCCTGTATAGCAAGGAGACGATGTGAGGCTTCGATCATGAAGGTAAGGATCCTAATTTGTTTCGAAACTTATTCTTTGAAATGGAACCAACTTTAAAAAAAGAAAAAAAATTTCAACTACTCTCCAGAATGTCTCAACTATGTTCGTGTAGTGATGTAAGACATTCGCCATAGGGTCTCTTGTTCCGAGGAAAGGAAAGACGTTTCTTTCAAACAAAAGTATCTGACTTCTTGAAAACACTTTTTTTCACAAAAAAAGAATTTTACCATTATACGTAAATTAATGAACAAATTCAAACTACAAATATTTAAAAACATTTATTTATTGTTATATTAGTTTAAACAGTAAACGGGCTTTTAATTATTTTTTGGGTACAAAATATAAAATAATAAATAAAATAATTACTTGTTTTAAATGCTTAAACAAGAGAATACCGAAAAAATATATAATAAAATTAGAAATAATAAAATTCTTTTAGCAAATTAATTAAATATTTTTAATTTGTCAATTATAATTAGTACATCCTGTATTTGACAGGGAGTTTTTTAATTGACTTGAACCCATTTATGTTCTAAATAAATAAACAATACAAGAAAATTGAAATGTTAAATGTTAGCACAAAATTTCATAGGTGCAAAATATTCCGTTGTACATTCATAGAAAGTATATATTTATTAAAAGCAAGAAAAAGAGAAATATTGAAGTAATCTTTTTCTCTGTACCGAGGAAAGCGAAAATTTGAATTTGATGAATTTTAATTAATTTTGACAAGAAAGGGAGTGTATATTTAATCACGTGATTCGCAATGCGGATGTCGTTTCAGAACAGTAGAGCAATTTAATTGAGGGATCGTAGCAGCTATTACATAAAGTCAGTCGACTTTATTCTCGCAGTGTGCATTGATGACGACAAGCTTCAGAATTTTCTTTTCGATTATAATTAATTTAATACTGCACACGAAGGAATTTCATATACTTATAAATACCGTTACAGGATTTTCTTCTCCGAACATTCATCAAATTTTCACTTACACTGAAAAATCTGTGAATTATTAATTAATTAATTAATTAATTAACTAGCGATAAATTAATAAATCATGAAGATGACGATCACTCCTACCTTCCTTGACTAGGAGTGATCGTCATCTTCATGTTTTATTATTTAATATCGCCGGAGTGATAAAATCATTATTCTGAATATACCTAAAAATGATTTAATAGAATAATGTAATATTTTTATTTTTTTTAACACTGGAAATATTTTCATTTTCTTTGTTGTATATTTACAGTAAATAAATCGAGTTAAATTTTTAAAAAAACTACTTCCTTTGTGGTCAACATTTTTGCGGGCTAGAACTAGAAAATGAAAAAAAGTCATTCCTTTGGCCTTCTTTTTACAAAAGAAAAAGAAAATTTCTCAGAGAGCATATAGTGGGCTTATTACTCATTCGCTCGACGAACGGATCTCTTCAACCCTTCGTATGCAATTTAAAACACTTTCCATTCTTTCACGCCGCTGTGAATTTTTTTTCGAAAGAAACGAAACCCCCTTAAAAATTTCCCGTTGAAAGTTATTTCTTTTAACATAAAAAGAAATTATCCGCGAACCCGCGTGCAATTTTTCGCACAACAATAATGCGAATGCCCTGGAATATATTTGCAACCCGAATTGAATTCCTTATTATTCATGGCTTTGACTAACGAGATACATTTACATTTTATGCACTCTATATATTCGTATAACAATCGAATAAGAATATTTGGTCTTCTCTGAAAGAGAGAGAGAGAGAGAGAGTTGATTTTGAGTAAAGTGCACCGCCCACTACATATACAATACTGGAAAGTAAACCAAATAAAAAAGGGCTAAAAAAGAGCAAATAACGAGAGAAATAAAATTAAGAAGTGAGAAAATTGGATAGGAAATGTTACATTTTTCAAAACTCAATTGAAATAAATGGAGAAAATCAAGAAAGACAAAGAATAAATACTTTAAACTAGTAAAGTTAACAGTAATTTATTATAATTTATTTCTTACAGTCAACTATACTTTAACTTTATATAAATACTAGACTTGCAAAATTAATTTTTCTTTTCCTTTTAAAAAATAATGTTTATTTATAAACCCCTCGAATTTATGTTTTTAAAATGATAATAATATGATTTTTTTTGTTTCTTTTCATTTTAAATTCTTATCCAACATTTTATTAATTATAATTCAAAGTCAGGAGAAAAAAATTTCTGTTACAAAAGAAAATTTTATAATCAATCGAAAAGTCTCGATCGGCAAAAAGCGGGTGTGAATAACATTTGCTTGCCAGTAACAAAACATTATATATATATATAATGTATTCCCTTAAATTTGCATTTTCCCCACTCTGCATTCAAGACCGTAAAATATAAGAAAATCAAGATTTCTCGTGGGGATTATTCCCTAGCAGGGATGTTGGTATCAGGAATGTATCTGATCGGAGGTGAAAAGAAAACAGGTTGTACATGGGGATGAGGGGTGATGAAAATAAAGAGAGAAAAATCAATGATAAAATCTCATGGACCTTTTTGTATTATATAAGTTCCCAACGTATATATATAAATGAAAAAAAATTATTTACATACATAAGCGACAGAAAACTTGGAGCAACAACATTCAACTTATCGCATGCTTCTGTATGAGATAAAGACGATATTTAAATTCATGACGTTTCTATTCTATTGAAAAGTTTTGGAAAATCGAGTCCTGAACAAAACCGCAAGCGGCGGGTTTCTGCGACCAATAAATACAAGGAAAAATTCTATATAAGGAAATGTAAGAGTAGCAGTCAAATTCTCAAAAAATATATATTTATAAATGAGTCAAAAATTTCATTTTTACCAATGTCAATTTGAAATGAATTTTCAAATCAGAAAAAATTGAAAAATGAATAAATGAATGGTATAATTATTATATATTATTTATTTATATGATTTAATTGATAAAAAAAAATTGATCCATTTATATTCAATCAATAATTAAATATGTGAAAAATGAAATAATTCATAAAATTTCGTTCTTTTATATTTTCTTATCTGGATAAAAAGAAATATTTTAAATTGAAAATTACTTTTTAAACTTTTAGAAAAATTGAATTATTTCATTAAATAAGTTTCGACTTATTGTCCTTATATATATATTTTTGTTTTTCACTTTTTCTTTATACATGTTAGTCGAGTTTCATAACTCAGTTGTCGAGTACAAGAAAATAGTAATGTCGAGCGCACTTCTAAACTCCTCATTGTCATTGACGTTATAAATGAAATCAAGCTTATTTTCTATGAATTTAATTGTACACTGAGTTGTTGCTATAATTTTGAATAGTTGTGCTGTTACCATTTAGTTAGTAAAGTAACTAATTTAATAGGTATACCAACCAACAAAATAGGTAAATCAACTAATAAAATATACCTAATGAGATTCATTAATAAAAAAAAGTCAACTTTCCTTTCTAGAAAAAAACAAATATTTACTTTCTAAAATCTAAAAGGTTTATTTTATTTTCAGAGTAAAAAAAAATACTTTGCTCTTTAAGAAAAAAATGATTATTTACTCTCTAGAGCCAAAATAAGAGCAGAGATATTACTTTACTCTCTAAAACTAAAAATAACATTTAATTCTCTAGAGCCAAAAATAGGCGGTTTATTCCATAAAAATTACCCCCTGATTTTTCACCAATTATTTTCCTTAACGAATGCAGTTACAGATAACCCTTCGCAACGCTTTTTAAATATTTGAAAAACTTGTAAAAAAAACATGAAACTAAAATAACGAGAAACTTTTTTAATTTTTAAGGGAAGAATAGAATAGCAAAGTTTTACAATTTTTAGCACGTAGAAAGACTTAATTCGCAAAACGCAAAAGCGGTAAGCATGAATAATCGTCTTCGTCTATAGCTATCATTTTGTCATAAAAGCGGGAAGAGAGTCCTTAAGGGCCGTACACCATTCATTGTGGATCATTATTGAGTTAGGCTTCATGATTCACTTGGCTGTTTGTTCGAATTATTAAAAATTTGATAAACTTTCGATTTGAAACCATCAAGAGATATATATATAAACGAATAAATTTGAATTTCAAATTCACAAGAGATACTTGCTTGTCGCACGCGCTATTGTACAGTGTGTGTATGTGTAGCTTATATGAAGATTTTAAAGTTTCGTTTAGAGAATATTAGGTACGTCATTAGACTCACATATGCGAGGGCTTTCGCATAACTGCCATCATAGTTACAAAAGGTCGTGTCAAAGTGTTTTCATTTACGTACACATTTGCCCCCAGTTGCGAGAAACGTGATTCGCCACTGAAACGAGCAGATTGGCATGTTCTTCAAGTCAAGAATCTCAAGATTCATCTCGCATTCTTCCGACTCGCGGAAATGAGGAATTTAAAGCAAGCCACATGGGACGGAGGGGGAGCAAACGAAAATCCGCGAGAAACTGAAATGTGGCTAATTTAAATGGACACTCTTAAAACTTATAGCATTTCATGGAACCGCATCTATTTTTATAAGTTTTCATTTTCAAAAATATTCCAATTTATTAATGTTTCTTAGTTATCAGTAAATTCTCAATTAGTAACATTGAATAAAATTGAAATCGCGTATATAATAATTTCCTTTTCAACTTTACAGAAAGAAATATTGTGCTATGAATTTTGAAGTTGTCCATTACAGTCGATATAGTACTCATTTTGCAATTTCGTCCAGAGAGCAATTCGAAGTAATGTGTTATCAAAGTTATGTCATCGTGATGCGTCGTATAGTTATACTCACTATATGTGTATGTGAGGTGGAAATATTAGACAATGTTTTATGACTATTAAGTTTTAATTAGGAAGAGATGTCTAGGATGAGCTTTAATCAAACTCCCCGTTTATGAATTTTTGAGACAAGGTTGACATTATGGCGCGCGCGAAGACAGGAAAACGTAACAAGCAAAAGACTAATTAACTGACTAACTTATATGTACTCTATACAGCTGATATACATATACAGTAGAGCTTCTCGAACGTCA